TTGACATATTTAAATTGATTATGTGAGATTCCTTTTGGTTTTACCTTAGTGATTTTTTGTAGGTCAATAATGTTCAATCCAGAACATTTGATTTATCTCCAGCTATACATAAGTTGCCAAAATTGGGCTTTGAGACAATTCAGGAAACCTTGTGTTTTGTTCCAAGATTTAAGGAGATCTTTCTGCACAAATTGGTGCAAATCTCGGCTTATGTAACAAGGTATATCTGGATGTAGATTCAAGGCCCAAGGATTGTTGAAGAGTATTTAAAGAAATTACCTAGACCTAATTTCACTTAAGAACATTGTAAAAATAAGGGGAAGCCTATTTTTCTTAGAATTAGGGTTTGAGGGTTCTTCAAGGGAGTTTTTGTTTTCTTTGTACGTCCTCATGCACCTCTTGATGCATTTGAGTTGACTGATTGTTACTTGATAGCTTTCCAAGTTATTATTCTCACTCTAAAGCTTTTAAGCAAGAGTTTGAGTATTGTACTTTAAGTGAAAACTTCTGTTTTAGTGTAGTTTCTAGTCACTGGGATTGTGGCTGTAGATGTCACTATGATGATTGGAAGTGAGATGGCGATTTCTCATATCTAGGAAGTTCCTAGGTAGAAGTTGCACTGGATAGGGATTAAGTGATAAGTTGTAAATTGAGACTGTTTAGACTTAAAATTAATACTACTCATAGTGGATTTCCTTTCTGGCTTGGTAGCCCTCAAAGTAGGCGAGTTGCATCAAACTGGGTTAACAATTCTTTATGTTATTTTACCTTATGCACTTTTAAATTCTGCATAGTCTTATTTTTGATAAAAGTTCATGTCAGTCAGCAGATGTTGTAACACCTGACTTGACATTGTGATTGTGTGTGCCAGAATTTCACTAGCATTATCAATCAGAATGGTGCAAACTTTACCTATTAACAATTCCTCCAAACTTTTTTCAACTTTTTTCCAATGGTCAATCCTTTGTGATTCACAATTAGACAGAAATTAAAATTCCTTTAATGGATTTTCCACTCATGATCAATGAAAATTGCAGTAAGACAATGATAGCTCAAATTTTGTATAGATGTCCAACAATTAGTTATAAGAGAGACATGTTAATTTGATTTATTTAACACACTTTTTAGCTTGTGTTTCTCACCCTTGTACAAATTCCAACAATATCTAGCAATTGTAGTCCTTTGAAGAATTGAGAGTTTAGGTTGCACAACACTCATAAAATGTTAGATGAAGTTTTGATGAGTTCCTTTATGGATTAGAGTTATATCAAATTAATCTTGAACCAAGCTTGGGTTTGTAGATCGCAGAGTTGTTAGACGAAGTTCACAGTTAATGAGAAATATCTCCATAATTCTTTTTGAAAATAATATGAGGTTTGAATTTAGTTAGTGAAAATTGTTAGTAATTTGATTGGTTATATATTTTTAAATATTAGTATATGAGGAAAATCTTTTTAATGCAAGAGAAAAAATGATTTTAATGCAATTAAAGAAATATTTGAATGAGTTAGTAAAAATAAATATTTGAATTAATAAATAAATAATTTTAGAATTTATTATAAATATATTTTAATTATGAAAATATGAATAAATAAATTGATAAATAAAAGAAAATGTAAAAAAATATAATTTTAATTAATTTACGCAGGGGTATTTTTAGTTTGGCTATCAGTTCTGGGGGGTATGACGAGTAAGGCCCTAAATTCAAATATTGAATTTGAGCCCGAAACACAAGGGAGGTGTGAATTTGAACCGGGTAGTAAAGATTGGAGGTGCATGATGTGAATGGCCCAAGTCTAGATGTTGGACTTGATCCAGAATGCGTGTGGGGTATGGTTTGTACGTGGTAGTAAAACAAAACGTGTGTGGGAGGGGGGGGGGGGGTGCTGGTAGTATAGGCATTAGCCTTGCATTAGTTCAAAGGCCCAATACGAAATTCTGGGTGCATTTGGGTTTGGTGTGGGCGCGCATATGGAGCTATGGTAGGCGTGCAGTTATGAAACGTCTGATGACGATCAAAGGGCTTGGGAGCGAGGGTGCACGATACGAGCAACACATAGGAACAATGAGTGTTATATAAACAAATTCCTAGGCTGAAGGCCCATTTTTTCTTTTCTTTCCCTCTCTCTACACCAAAAATAAAATACGGTCGTTGGAGGCTAGAGGAAGAAGCTCAAACTTCTGTCTATATTTCTGTCGCTGAAAATTGCCTCCGCCCAGAAATCGCTTCTGCTGGCGGCTGCGCCAAGGCGCCACCATCTTCAAGCATAACCACTATCTGGGTTCATATGAACCCTAAGGGTTTGTGAAGAACTCTAGCCCTAAAACCCAGAAACCTTCAATAATGATGAACCCTAACCCTAAACCAGATGAACCATAACCCTAAACATGAACCCTAACCCATTTGAAACCCAACAATCCAAAACCAAACACAAGATTACAGATTCAAACAAATACAACCCTAAGTTAAGAGTTCTTATGCTTACCTTTCTGCAGTGAATCTTGTCGTATTAATTCCTTTTTGTCTTTCTCTTCCCTGTCTAATCCTCTTCTTATTCTCTGATTGTAGGTGTGAATGGCGATGGCAGCGACAAAGATGATGAAGGAGCGACGACTGATTTGATACACAGATCTAGGGTTTCAGAAATTGAAACCCAGATCTCAAGGATATAAGATAGCTCACGGAATCTAATTTTTCTCTGTGATAATTCTTTTCTTCCAATTTCTTCCCCTGTTCAAATAGTTTTAGGGTTTTTATTTATAGGTTAGATATTAGAACAGATTAGGAAGTTTATTTGATTTGTTATTACAAAAATGTTTTAGTTTAGAAACTAAATATTAGATTAGAGAAGATTTGATTTTGTTTTAGGATTAGAGATTTGGTTGTAAAATAGTTTTGATTCGTTTGTAATTGTTTCTGATTTGGACGCCTTTGTATTTGTAGATTCAAATTAGTTTTGTGTAATATTTGATTTAATTTTGTACATAAGTTGATACGATTGGGTTTATTTTTAATGCGTTTTCCTTGCTTGAATTTGTATAGTAGTTATTTTGATGACAAGAACAGGGCGCCGTTTGCGTTTGGGAATTAGAGTCTCAACCCTAATTTTGATTTTGACTTAGTCAATAAAATTAGTTTAATATAATAACGTTTTCTTTAAATAATAATTTAATAAAGCAGAACAATTATAATAGTAAAATAAAATAATTTGAAGGAGTGTTGACTTCAGCCAACAAAACGGGCTTCCAAAAAAATGCAACATGGGCCTCTAAAAATAATTGGAAAAAATGTACCAATAATTCTTTTGAGAAGCCCAATTGGTAGACCAAACAATCACACCTCCTCTATTAAAAACGCATTAGCCCTTAATGGGCCCTTAAATTGCTCTATAAACTTGACAAAAATGGGTTTTTCTTTGACAAACAAGACCTCTAGCCATACTAACATACCCCCTTTTAAAAAGTAAATGAGCCTAAAAATTGTAACGAGCCACCAGGTTCTAATAGACACCTCTGTTTAAACCAACACACCCCTCTTTCTATTTTTCACCAACTTTAATGGGCTAAAATCTAAATAACAAATGCACACTCTTTCCAATTGTAAGAAGAAACTTAATGGACCATCAAATTTTGATGGTCCATTTTGAAACAATATAACCCGCTCTATAAACTTAAACCCCACAACATATATGATTTTGACAATAATAATCTAAACTTTATAAAGAAAATGATAACATTAATAACAATAAGGAATAATTTGTTTAGAAATCGATAGGGCAAATTTGAGGTATAACACAAGAGTTTGTTGAGTGGGATCAAGAGAATATTTGAGAAACTTCTTACATTGGTGCAGCAAGTGGTGTTTCAAATTTCTAGTGCCACTTATATGTGAATCAACAACATATAATACGTCACACCAATTACACTTAGCTCTTGATCTTATTTTTGTAAAATGTTTTCAAGTCTAAAAATCTAAAATTTAATAGGTTTTATGTTACTTGAATCTCTAGCTGTAACATTAGGATCATTGAATATGATCAATGTTGAATCTTCTCCAACTTTCCTTTTCTAATTGAGATTTTCTTCATCATTGTTCATTTTATTACTTTGCACCAATGGAGATGGGAGTTCAACTGTTTCACGGTGTAAAATAGGAAACATAGAATAAACATTAATCATAACCAACATTTACCAAGATAAAATAACCATTAACAGAGAATAAAGTTAATAGTGAAGAACCATAACCATCGTAAAACATTAACCAACATTTACTAAGATAAAATAAACTAATTAAAACAAAATTGTGAAACCCTTGCTAATAAGATGAAATTGAATAGATGGAGCAACATGATCAAAGGATTTTACTTGACCCATTCCTTTAAAATAAACAATATTTAATCTATCAAAATGAATATTTTAAATATTTTAAATATAGTTTAATAAAATAACTAATAGTTACAATTTATAAAATCTGTCTATTGTTTTTGAATTCAAAATTAATTGAGTAAGAGACACTTAAAATTAATATAAAAATTTCTTTTTATATCTTAACACATTTTTGAAAGAAATACATGGAACCTTGTTTTAATATATATGGAACTTTTAAGTATACAAAGGATCTGGTTTTTGGAGTGTTTTAATAGACGCACAACAAGAAAATAATTAATCGCCAAAATCATAAAATAAAAAATTGTCAAAAAAATATTCGTTCTGATTATTACCGTTGCAAATAAAAAAATATTAATATTGAGAACATAAAAAGAAAACAATAAAAAAATATTTTTTTCTAAATCAGAAAAACTCTCGCGGCATCAAGCACGTGTATTCTGTTTATAAAAACAAAACAGAGAATTCATGATTTCATAATTTAAAAAAATGTTAAAGCTTAAAATTAAAAAAAAAAGCGTTAAAAACAATAACAAAAGCGCGCGAAGACTCCCGCGTTAGTTCTTATATACTTTTATTAGTGAATTGCACTATCATTTCTTCTCCGCAATACCATGCAACATTCAACCATCGCCGCCGCGTCACAATCTTCGCGCGGCGGCGATTCCGCCGATAGCTCCGATATCAGACGAGCAAAGAAACGTGGCAGTTATAACTGTGGCCGTTGTGGTCTTCCCAAGAAGGGACATAACTGTAATATCAAAACCCCTATCTCTGCCACCACCACGCCTGCCGATTCGGCTTTATCGGTTGTTTCCGTGCCGTCGTCGGCTGTTTCGGCGTCACGTCAGCCGCCTTCGAATCTTCGTCGTGCGCTTTCGTTCGACGGTCTTGAGGATCGAGCTAGCGGACTCTATCTGCGTTTAGACGATAGGGCGGAGGAAGATTCGGCTGTAGAGGCGGATCTGGAATCCGATCTGGATCTGGATGTGGATTTTGATTCGTCTGGGTTGCCGGCGAGTTTAAGGTGGGAGGTTTTGAGGAGGTTGCCGCCAGCGGGATTGTTGTCTGCGGCGAAGGTGTGTAAAGGATGGAGGGAGACGGCGAGGAAGCTGTGGAGGGCGACTGAGGAGTTGAAGCTTAGGGTTCCGGCGAAAGTTCACGTTGGATTTGTGGCGTCGATGCTACAGAAATGTCCTGGGATCGTGAGGCTTTCACTTAGGATGGAAAGGTGTGTGATGATTTGTGTTGTTCGTTGAAATCTTCCAGATCCGCGTTAAGAATAAGATTAAGCAATAAATTAATAATAATTGAGTCGTGTTATTGAAAATTAATGGTTAAATATCATAAAATGAAATAATGCATGTGTGAATTGCAATCAGGGGGTGTAGATTTGTGAAGATCGGCCCCGAAATAACTAATAGCTTCAATGAATCTCAATTTACTAAATAACTGTTTTGATGTTTCATCAAAGGATGGATGTTGAAAATTTAGGCCAGGGTTAATTGATGAAAGAAATTGGATCTTGAAAATGAATTTGTCTTGATCCTGCTGAATTATAAGCAACAGTATTTTTCTTATGTTTTCTCCATTGAAAGATTTGTATTGCATTGTTTATCGTATGAATCTGAGTTGTTTGGTGTTGCAGTGATTTTGATTCTACAATGCTGGCTTGCATTGCATTTTCATGCCCTAATTTGGAGTCTATGGAGATCTCGATATTCGACACTGCAACCAATCGGATCAATGGGTATTACTGCTGGCTTGCATTGCATTATTTGGTTTTGATATAATTCTATAGAATGTGAATGTTGGGTTGTGTTTGGTGTATCATTATCGTTATTGCTTAAAGGCGGGTTAATGTTCCCTAGCTCACATTGTTAATGGATGGAATCTTGATTGCTTATTGCCGTGTAATGGACTGTAGCTCTGCCTTAATATCAAAGGTGTAATGTAACTTTTGTTTTGTCCTTTGATAGGTGCCTAGTTGCTTCTGTTTAATCTCTTACAATACCATAACTATAGTTGCCTTGCTTGAGCTTTCATGTGTAGTTAAAGCTTACATTATTAGCATATATGCAAGTCAAACCAAATAATGATGCTTTGCACTGGTTAGATTTATCTGTTGTTCAACTATGAAAATGCAGGGATGAATTGGGCCGATTTGTTGCAGACAAAAGAAACCTCAAAAGCCTCAAGATGGAAGGTTGTTCTAATCTAGGGGGTTTTGTCATTTGTTCGTCTAGTCTGTCTACACTTTGGCTATCAGATCTGCACTCTCTATCTAAGATGGTAATTGTTACTTTTCTTTGTTGTTTTTTAAAGTGATGTGATTGATATTGATATTGATATTGATATTGATATTGATATTGATATTGATATTGGTTATACCCCTAGGTCGTATTTGAGTGAATCATAGTTGCTAACTAATGCTTTGAAATTGTAGGTATTTAACTGTCCTCAGTTGAGAGAGATTTCATTGGAATTTTCTTGCCAAGAAAATGATAGCACTGATCTCATATCTATGATTCAAGGATTTGGAAGAAGTTGCTTGAAATTACAAAACATACACATAGCGTCAATGCGGCTTTCTCATGCTGCAGTGCTTGCTCTTACAGCTGCTCAATTGAGGTTTGCTTTTCTTTGGCAATTTGTTCTCTGTTTATATGATATTCCACCTATTTTAATAGTTTGCAATCTTTGATGTTTCTAACTTTCTGTTTATATGAATTTATAATGGTTTGAACTCTCTTTTGTATGAATTCACACTATCTTGTGTTTGAACCAATCATTATAAAAAGACCAAGTATAGGATAGGACCATGTTGAACTTTATACCGCATGCCAAATGTGGTGTAAGTGAAATAGTATTAAACCAATTATTATAGCAACATGCATTGATCAAAACTTGATTTTATTCGCAAAGTTAGAATGAGTATCCAAAATTCCAATCATATATCATAGAGATCCCTTATTGCATAATCAGTGAAAACTTTTTTCTAATTGTGTTTTCTCCTGCTTTTGAATAACCAGTTACTGCTAATGGCTTCCAATTGATTAATGAACTTAATGACATTCTGTTTGAATATACAATTAATCAGGGGGCTCCGGATGCTTTCTCTTGTTCTTGGATCTGAATTAACTGATGCATCTGTTGCTGCAATTGCCTCAAGCTACCCAAATCTCGAATTGCTTGACCTCAGTGGGTATGAATCTGTATCTATTCTTACTGATAAAAGTTTTCGGCAGAGTTTTGAAAATGTGTTTAAATTGGAGACAAAAGTAAGTATGGTGGAACTTAATACTGTAGATAAATAATAGTGGGAGATTCAACATAATAATTTATTTTTCAAATATGCATAATGTTTTCTTAATTTCCTTGTCTTTATTTAAGAAATTGTGTTTGATGGTTGCTGTCATAACAGATCTGGCATAAGTGACAGTGGCATTGGAATGATTTGTAATGTATTCCCTGAAACACTTAAAAGACTTCTCCTTGCTCTTTGCCCTAACGTGACCTCAAGTAATCTTTTGTTACATTCTTTTTTGTTTCACACAAGACTTGTACATTTGCTTAACTCTGTTCCTAATCTGCTGTCACATGTTCCAGGTGGCATTCAATTTGCTACAGCTCAATTACCGCTTCTTGAACTTATGGACTGTGGCATGACCATATGTGATCCTAATTTCCCTGATCCAATTGCTGATGGAAATGACTGCGAATCACAAAAAACTTCCACCACAAATCTACAACATATAAACCAAAAGCTAATCATCAAACATAGCCGTATAAAGAAACTCAGTTTGTGGGGTTGCACTGGTTTGGATGTGAGTTTTCATTTTCATTGGATTGAAATCATTTATTGCATATTCTTCCTTGGCATGTTAATCTTTATACTTCTTTTCAAATTATTTGCAGGCCCTATACTTAAACTGTCCAGATCTCATTGATCTGAATTTGAATTCTTGTAGAAATCTGATTTCAGGTTTGTCCTTTCATCCCCCCTGTTTAGTAACTATCAGAATTTGTTGCAACTTATCAGGATTTCCTTTAAAACAGTGATTGATTACTTTCATTATATTAATCGGTTCAGAGAGGCTGTTGCTTCAGTGCCCCACTTTAGAAAATGTTCATGCATCAGGTTGTCAGGATATGTTAATTGGGGCAATTCAAAGTCAGGTAACAAACCAGATCTTCTGATATTGTGTTTTATAATAAATCAATGTCCTCTTTAAGATGTGAGATTCATAGAATGATTTTGGATATGAAGAACAAGGTCTCTTAAACTAGTTTTCTCTTCATGAATAAGCATATTATTTATGATCTAGCTTGTTTGATATTTATCCAAACTTTTCTGGTTCTAACTTAAAATATACTTCACGATTTACTTGCAGGTCCGCAATGCTTTTCCTGCTGTAGATAACCATTCACCTTCTAAACGTCTACCTGATGGCTCCAAAAGGGTCCGGGTTCCTTATTTACTTAGTGGAGAGGTGATGGAAAAAGAAATAACATTATGCATGCTTTAAAATATATTTCATTTACTACAAATCTATCTCTAAATCAGGCATAAAGTAAGTTTGTGCATCAATGGTATCAAACAACCGCGCTTTTACTGTCTGAACTGCTTTTGTTTCTAGCCCCTACACAGAAGAAAAAATGAAAGTTTCTAGGCTGGTTTTTTCAAGTGCAATGCATAGTTACAGTCTTGCACTAATTGATTTTATTTTGAATGTGAAAATTTAACATCCAATCTTATTTTTCTTCTTTGCAGTCCCCTGAACCTGATAAAAAGCGAAGGCGGATTGAAAGACTTCCGTGTAATGTGCTTGTGGACTGATCTCCCTTGAAACTTATTCTAATTTTTCTTTATGGTGATGAAGGTGGTCTGGAACTTATTCTATTGTATACATATGTGCAATATCTTGTATGTTACATAATATGCATCATCCCTTAGCTACCAAACTTGTCATAATATTTCAATTTAGGCTCTCAAATTGGTGTCCTAGATTAAACTGTATGTTACTGCAAACGTGTATGTTTAGAAATACTCTTGTAATGAACTATGGATGAATGCCTCATTTTTAATGAAATAAAGTATTTTATGAAAATTTCTCTAGACCCCTGAGTCATTAATTGGGTACTGATATAGGGTGATTGCCCATACTAGCATTGTCAATAATTCTTACCGTTCTTCAATCATTACATATGATCTTGATTGATGTTGAGAGAAAGTATCTGGACACTTAAGCCGAGGTTTTTATGAGAAGTTTGGAGTATCCTGGTTTACATTAGGATTATAATATGCATTCTTATTGTTGTTTATGAGAAGTTTGGAGTATCCTGGTTCATATTGTTGTTTAAATGGTTCCTTGGAGTGGAGATGTGGTCTTTTTTGAAGGTGTAAGACATGGTAGTTAGAAGGAGGCTCTTGTGCTTCTCTTTTGTTGGTTTGATTTATTTTCAAACCTATGTTGGTTTGTTGTTACCTGGTTTGTGGTGCTTATGTACAAGAGTGACTGAGTCATGGCTAAAGGTTGTTGATGGGTTTTCTGATTTGTTTCTTTTTTCTTCTGTTACATTTGTATCTAATAGAAAACTCCTGGTGTTTGGTGAGTTTCTTGGAAATATGTTCTACAAGATGTTGGAACATCCTATCAGCAAGGTGTGCATAATTCTGCTACACTAAGGATTGTCATAGCAGATGCTCTGGGTGCTTAACAAATGTGTAGTGATCACATATGTTTGGAACCTACTCCTGACCTAGAAGAGGAGGCATTTGTGCCATGTGTCTAAGAGGTTTCTATCCTAGAAACATGTCTTTGAAAAATATGTTTGTTCAAGACATGATTAACATATCGATTACTTCTTGGATTAGTTTATTTCTGATCTAAGAAAGTAAGAGTGCAGTTACATTTTTTGTGGAGACTTGTTAAAGACATCTCAACAAGATTCTTCATGTATGAAGACCAGTCTAAATGTCGAGGACATTATCTTTGACACTTGGTAGGTTCCTCTGACCAAAGGAACCAAATTTGTGTATGAGTCAGAGAAAGGGATTTGAAGCAACAATTGTTCAAGGTGCCTGGCTGGTGTTTATTCTTATAAACATAATGGAGGTTGTTTACTCAAACTTGATGTAACAATCAAGTCTATGAGAGCATGAAACTCTTGTTCTGTTAAGAAAAGAACACTTATCCAAGGAAGGATAACGTATGGAGAAATATCAACCTAAGCTCAATGGTTGATTGGTGTCTGCGCTGGTGGAGTATCATCCAAACCGCTTGGAATGAGCCTTCAGTTGTTTTTGTCTGCATGTGCTTGGAGGAGTTTGTAGATCATGCCTTATTGGAGCAAGGCGTGGTTACTCAAGGGAAGTTTTTTTTTTCCATCTTAGGTTCCAGTTATGTGGTGTCCTCACATGATAGAACATTTGGTTATGCACAAGGAGATCAGTGCACCTGTGAGTTTTGAAGAAGCAGACATATTGATGGTATGGTGCTAGTTCTATTCCCTGCTTGTTGTTGTCTGCTTCAGTTACCTGTTAAGAGAGAATCTCCTCTTTAGGTACAGAAGGTTGGTGAAACACCTCAAAGTCAGACAAGGTGTCTGAACATTGTGTGTATGAGAAGAAGATTGTGGTGTGGATCATGCAGATCAATGCATATGTTTATGATCTGATCATGAAGGTTGATCAACTGTTGGTGTATTCTCTTGTGTTCCCATGAAAGAGATGTGTTTGGAGTACTATGGATATTATCTCCAAATCCATAATACATGTTTAAATCAATGTGATTTAGACTGGTGTTGGAACATCATTTCAGTTCTTTCCTTCTTTAGCCAGAGAAGTTGTTTTTGTGGAGTCCAGAGTGAAGCATGAGGTCAAGCCACTGACCTAAATTGGAGTAGTTTCTCATGAAAATGGCTGTCATGACTGTTTGTTATGAAGATGAATCAGCTAGTGCCAGATAACTACAAAAGAAGGATGTCAGACCAAATGTTTTATCTTGTGTGAGAAGGTAGTCTTATATGACCATTTATAAATACTTTGATGGAAGCTGAGTATTTATTTGTCCTTTGATGAGGTTGTGCATGTAACTAAAGATAAATACTTTGATGGGAGACTGAGTATTTGTCTGATGTGTTAATGCAAATCTGCAATATAAACACCGGGCTTCAGAAGGAATGCTGCGATTTATTTTTCTCTGTGTGGCTGTAGCTATGAGTAGCTGATTGGTAGTGTCGTTCTCCAAAAAGGAAGTGTTTGTATATGGGTTTATTTAGAGCCTCTTGAGTTTTTTGTTTGAATGGTGTCTTAAGAACCAAAGTGGTTGAGTTCTGTGACAAGAAGATGATGTTCTAGATGATGTTGTAACATCATGCTTGCTGGTGGTTGTTTTGCTACGAAGCTTGGACTGGTGAATTTAATATTGATCTTTCTATATTATATTTAGAAGTGGCAATTCTAGCTATGATGAAGAAGGATGTGAAGCTTCGGGCCCTGTCCACAAGGGTGTGTGTGGTGAATGCATGACTGCTATCATGCTGAAGATTGCAATTGGACCAGAAATTACTATGAGGAGCTGGAGAAGAGTGTCAGATAGGGGGATCTGATAAGAATCCCTGTTGAGGAGGTGGTTTCTTCCACTATAAGCAACAGATTGTGGGAGTAAGAGCATTTGTTCTGGAATATGTGAGGAATTCCAAATCAAGTGTATCTTGTGTGGGTTTGCTAGGACATTTGTCAGTTGTGTCTATATTGTGTGAATAGCTCAAGGTGCTTAGAGTTATTCTCAAAAAGTTGGTGTATCTGGATCTGTAAAAGTCGGGATTGATTTTACAGTTGGTAATTGTGTTCAACAGGTGTGTTCATTCAGATGCTAGAAGTGGTTGCTCTTCACTATGAGAATGTGAAGTCATTATGTGACTTTGTCTGGTTCTCAAATATTTAATCTTCAGCAAGAGCATTGTTTGTCCATGACAGAGGGTGAAATACTTGTCTATGGATTGTGACTGCAATGGTGCATATTTTTTTTGAAGCTTGCATGCTGATCAAGCTTGTGAAGAGTATTTACCTCTGATGAGTTTGTGATGTCAAAAAACATGTTGTGACATGAGTGTGCTGGATATGTATGGTTCTAGATATGTGAAGCTAGTTGGTTAAATCATGTGCTCATATGCCTCTTAGGAGGATTCTGGAGGGCAGTCTTGTTTGTGTTTGGGAAATTTATTTTTCTCTATAGTTTTTGGAAGGACTCCATGGATATTTTTAGTTGATGGGAAATGTCACACTTGTGATGTTCTGATATCTTGGGTTCCGTCACTCTTGAAGGCTGAAAGGAGTGCATTTGGAGTCCGGTGGGAGACATTGTGTTTATGCTTCTGTGCTTATGGATAAGTCTGAGAGTTATCCTAGACTTTGTTGATGAAGAAGCCTGTTTGTGCTACTGTGGTTTGTTATAGTTAGTTGTTTCTTTGGTCATATTATGGCAAAAAATAGGGAGAAGTATGCGTGTGCGTGTGTGAACACTAACCACTAATTGTTGAACCACCGATTGTTGGCTGCTATTGAGGGGGAGAATCTTTGATTCTCTAGTGTGATAACAAGTGTTGAGGGGGAGTCCCTGCTGTTCTGAAATGAAGGGCTCTGAAGAGATGTTATATATGATGTCTTGACATCATGGTGTTGAGAATCTAGTTTCTCTCTTTGTTGCAGCTGTGTTTAGTAGACTGAATAACTACTAACTATTTCTCTGGTTGTATTGTTGCTCATAACTCTGATGTTATGTTTGTTTTTCCGTTGTGCCTCTGATGTGTGTGTTTGAGGAATTTTCAAACATGATTATAGTGTTTTCTTGTGCACATATTATTTGGCTGTTTTAGCCAAAGCTTTTCAAAGGAGGAGATTGTTATTTCTCTGAAATTATGATTGACATGAATTTTGGTAAAACTAACTTTGCAACAACATGTTGAACAAGATGTTTCAAGTTGTAGATTCAACATGTCGAGTGTGATGCCCTAATAAGAAGTATAGGACATCTGGTCTGTTATAATTTTACAGTTTGGAAAATATTTCAACTTGTAATTTCAACATGTCAAATGTAATGTCCCAACCAGAAGAGCAGGACATCTGGACTGTTACAATTTTACAGTTGAGAAGTTGTTTCAACTTGCTATTTGAACATGTTGAATGGGATGTCCTAACCAGAAGTATAGTACATTAGGTCTACTACAACTGGAAGTTTGGATTCAGTTGTTGTGATTTAATTACTGAATATTCTGGAAATATTTAGTAATCCTATGTGGCGTCCAAGATTGATAAATCAGAGATTTATATTGTTATTCAAGATATTCAAAGTTCTACATATAGATATATTTTAGGAAATATTTGATTGAAGACCTATTTTCTTGGAGAAGTTTTTGCAGACTTTGTGCAGTCTCTCTGCTACATTTTTTAAGCCCAAATCTAGTTGGGAAAAGGTTATAAATAGAAGTGTTTGTAACCTATTTTTGGTACCGGCCGAGAATTGAAAAATTGTAGTTATTAGGGTTGAGTCTATACCACTTTATAGGAGATTTGGTTGTGTGTTCCACTCGGTTGTGAGCTCGACTAATGTTATAAAGTTGTAGTCTCTATTATTGTTCTCCTCGAAGCTTTTAAGCAAGAGGTAGTATTATTCTTGGAGGAAGCTTTTAAGCAACTCTAAGTATTGTTATTGATCAAAGCTGTGAAGAAAGATCAAGTATGCTGTTCTTAATCAAGGGGTGTCTCTATTAATGGGTTTGTTTGTATTTGAAGTGTGGTCTTCATTTAGGTGAAAGGTCGTCGATATAGTAATT